GGGCGCTCCCCAACGGTCCTTGCGCGCGGACCCCGCGCGGGCACGGGCTCCCGGGCGCGGGGCCGCTGCGGGCGGGGTTGGTGCCTGCGGCTCTGAGAAGCTGCGGGCACTTACACAGAGGTACCGCAGGTTGCCACGTTTCCCTTGGATAGTTGAGTTGTTTGGTTCTTTTTACTGTGAGCGTTTCTTGTTCTGAAGTCGGACGGCGTGGCAGGTGCATTCTGGCCTAAATGAAAGGATGATATTTACCAAGTTGGCTTGAATTTCCAAAGTTCAAAAACCCGATTATTTTTTTTTTAAGAAAATCCAGTCTTAGTAGGGCTTTAGTTATTCGTGTTCTAATGGAAGTACTTTTCCAAGTGATCCCTTATTTATAGGTTATACATGCTTGTAAAACTCAGTCGTTGTTTCCTTATTTGCATATTCTATTGATTTGGCTTGTGGTAATGACTAATCAGTCAGCGTGGAAAGAAAATGGCTTTATGAGGCCTCTCAGAAAGATAATTAATTGATAAATGACTGCTCTGATTCATATGGCTTTAAAAATTCTACTTATGTATAGTATTCGTTTGCAAAACACCTTGATTAAGACTGTCTAGTAAGTGAGTGGTTACTTGGTGGCCAGTTATGGTTATATGGTTATCTGGCAATCGAATTACAAATGTATCTGTAGAGCTCCCCAAAGTGCAGTCTGGAACCTGGGGAGTAGGTGGATTCTGGGTCTCTAGGCAGCAGGCTGACTTCTTGGGGATTCCCATGCAGACTCGGGCCCTGTGAGTGCAGAAGGCATTTGGATAATTTAAAATGCTTGAGTTTTTCTTAACTGCTCCTGCCTTCCCCTTTTTTTGTTAAGTGTATTAGAAAATATCTTCTGTGGCAATGACAAATGTGTTTGTAGTTCACTTCATTTCCTGTTCATAGAGGTGTTGTCATTTATATAGTAACTGAATACATTTATTTACTCAAGGAATAAAGATAATTTTAGTTGAAATGCTTGTTTGACAAATGAGTTGATTTGAGAATCAAATTTTATATATAATCTTTCAGATAACATTTTTATCTAAACTAGAAAATAATGTTCTTGTTTTTGAAATTTACTCCATCTTTGGAAGTGTGTTGAAATTTGTATAACTTAAGAGGTATATGTCCTTTCTGGCACTGTGAGAAAGAGACAGGGTTGGTACAGTCATTGACAGTGGCAGGAACTCCCTCCGTACTGTTGTGAATCAGTTTAAATCTCTGCTTGATAGTCCCACTTTACAAAGGGTACTGATTATTTTCTTTGTTTTTTAGTATGGTGCTTTGAGTAGGATACTGTAAACATGGAGTGTAGTCAGATGTGCATGAAATGCTTGAGTGATTAATGTTTTGTAGCCAACAGCAAAGTATGACGTAAGACCCTGTCATGTAGGAGGTATAATCTATAGCTTCGTGTTTATGTATATAGAATTACAAAATACATTTTTGCCAGTAAAACCAAATTATAGTGAGAATTTTTTCTTTCCCTTCCTTGAGCGATAAAATGCCATTCCATTTGTTGCTACTGTGATAATTAACAGTTAAGGGCAGATTATTGTAGTTGGTCAATCTGCAACTTGTGAAATTTTGGTTACTTAAAAAAAATATGCTGAAAGATTTGAAAAAACTTGTCCAAACAAGTTACAAACAGAATTTTCTTATTTTACATCCCAAACTGGAGTATGTTCTACTTCAAATAACTGAGCTATTCAGTGCCATAAGCGATATATGTGACTGCAAGAAACATTCTAATGTAAATTCCACATGGGGTAAAAGCAGTACTGTGCATAAGCAGAATTTTAGCTCCCCATGCTCACTATTACTTAACACTTTTGTATAAACTAGCTAAATTGGTATTTTTATTTGATTTGAAATAAATAAAATAGATTTTATTCAGCACCTTTTGATGTTAGTAGCAAATTTCCTATTGAATAACAAAGCTACTGTCTAATGTCCAAAAGATGGACTTTGGCTGTGTCATTTTACTCAGATTAGTTTTATAGATGTAAAAGAAAATAAAGCCTATTTTTAGCATAGAAGAGGGAAACATAAAATGTAATGAAATTTTGCAACCCTTTGTGCTGTGCACTGTCATGTTAATAACTCCACTAACATTGCTTTCACTTAATTTAATGCTGATTGCCTTTAACATTTACTAAACAGTTTTGAAAATTACTGTAGCTTAGCCTGAGACGTTTGTGATTAGCTGCACCAATTTGAAATGGCCAATTTGGATGATGACAGAACCTCCTCTACGCATGCTTTTTTAAAATTTGGTAAGTGTGCAGTTCTGTGTTTTGTTTTTGTTTGTGACTGTTTAGCTCAATAAAAAGTAATTATGTGTTTCGTGTTTCATGCAGTGTTTTGTGCTAGCAGCTTCTTAGCACTATACAGTAGAACATAGAAATTCGAGCTCTTTCAGTGAAAATTTCTGAAAATTGGAATTTACTTAGGTTGAAATCTGTTGTTCAGATCTTCCCATTTTGTTTGGTTTTGTTTTTGTAAGTATTTCACAGTGTAACAATCTCTGAACTGAAATTTCCCTTTTAAGATGATGATCATGTGAAAGATGCACTAAGAATAGTGTTTAGAGTTAACTCCTAAAAAAAACCCAACATGACTGGTTTAGAGAAAAAAAAGTAAAATTTACTTTAAGTCAGTCGTTGTTCCAAAGCTTGGCTTCTGGAAATTAAGTGGAAGCAAAATAAAGTCCTCAGGCACAGCTTCTCTCTAGGTACAGCAGAAGCTAGAATCTATGAAGTTGGCAAGACCCATTTGGCTCAATATATTTTGGAAAGAGTTTGACTGGAACAAATGTGCCCATATGTGAAGCTAGCTCATCTGGGGAAAACTGTGTAGGCTTCTTGTTTAGTCTGTGTTGAAATGCAGAAGCAGTACAAGTGCTGGTGAGAGTAACTTGGTGAGGGGGTTTCTGCTGTGTCTTGCCACAGTGGAGCCACTTGAACTACCCTGACCTGCCTGTGGCATTGCTGTTTTGCCTATCTTAATGACAGAGGACATGTGAAGTGTTGATACTATAATAAAAAAATTGCTCTTTCCTAATTATTCTATTAATACTTGAGGTTTCTGGTTTTCTAATGCAAAATTGTAGTAGTTCTAAGAGCTGTTGGATTGAGTTTGCAGTTAAATGTCAGTGACTGCCTGGAGTATTCTGACCTTTTTGCATTGCAAGGCTTGTGTGGCAGACTTTGGCATTTTGGTATGTTTTGGTTATGTCAAGCACCTGTGTTTTAGTGTGATGGTCTGTGTTTTATTTCTGGTATTCAGTAACTTCTGTGTGTTGTTAGTTACTGTAAATCCTGAAATCAGGAATTTCAGTCTCATACTTTAGAGAGAAATCACTTCAGATTATTAGGAAATAGAGAAAGGACAGAATAAGTTTTACATATTCTTCCTTTTCCAGTAATTTCTAATTGTTTACATGCACAATCTAACACATGATGTTTCTTGACAAATGATACTTGAAAATTTTTGTCCCTTTGAAACCATTTAAATCAAACTATTTTTACATGTGTTATCATCACTCAACCTAGGTAACATATTGCACCTTGTGTTCACTACTGATGTTTACTCAGGTAGAGGAATACCTTAATACCTTTTTCTTATTCCTCCCTTAGCCCCTATCCTGGAGTTTCCTTATCATGTTTTCACTGAATTGTAGAACAGTTGAGTTTGAAAGGGATGTTAGGAGGAGGTCATCTATTCTAGCCTCTTGCTCAAAGCAGGGTCAGATATGAGATCATAGTTTCCTTCTGTTTGCAGTGATTAAAAATGCCCACCAGCAACAGCATAGTTGGTACATGTTAAGTTCATGGGTTTAAAGTTCAGATGTTTACATGTGTGAGAAATTAATTTTACTTCTAGTGGAAGGGCTTCTGGAAATAATTTTCTAATACCACCTTGCTCAACTATGTGTGTTTGAACTTAAACAGCAGATGCAGTTTATAGCAGACAACTATCAAATTAAACTTTATTGTATCCAACAGTGTTTCTTCTAGTGCTGTATTAAGTCTGAGCTCAAGAGAGATTGCAGAAGTCTTGAGGGAAAGGAAATATGATGTTGAGAGGATATGTTCATGTGATATAATTTCTTAAGACTTTGCTGTGTGCAGAAATAAAATTCTCTTTGGTCTTAACGACTTCTGTAATGTGAAGATGTTATTGTCCATACTAATACTGGGACTGAAAGTTACTGTGATCTGAGATCCAGAACTCGTTTAAGTCTCAAGTATTGGATTACATCCAAGAACTAGTGTTACATTAAAGGACTGTAGTCAGTTTTTATTCTTATCAAATCTAGGAAGAATTCTGGTATTTTCAGGGGTTTTTTGTTGTTGTTTTGTCCCGCTGTTTTAATTATGTGGGTAATCATTTTTTTCTTTTGATAAAGTGCTGGAAATAAAATTCTTCCCATGTTGTTTCCATTTGTTTGTTATTAAACACTGGGGAGGTGTGTGGTTGGTTGTTTTTTAAAAAATATGCACTTTGCAAAATGTGCATAATCAATCCATGATGAAATATGCAAATCTTTATGCAAACATTAGATCTAGAATTCCATTGTGATACTTGTTTTTCTTTAGTTTCTCCAGTTGTTGCCACCTTCAAGGATGTGTGGGTGTGCAAAGCTGCTGTAGATAGAATTTAGGAGCGGGGTTTCAAAATGTTGGCCATAGCTTCTAAATCTAAATATCTAGGCAGTTTACAGCTCATCCCTGAAGGGCAATTAATGCTAATCTCAAGTGTAACTGGAATAAAAATGAAGTGGATGGGAAAGTACTCTAACACAAGGTTGACATAATATTCTCAGCCTCCAGAGGTTTTATATACAAAAGTATTTACAGTACTAATAGCTTACCTCAGAGAAATTCCCTCAGTTTTCTTCACTTTTGTATTCTGATAGTTAACTTGCAAGTTTTTTCCTGGAATTGTACATTTGAGTTTCCTCTGCTGGATATCGCTTTCTTATTATTTCCGTGTCTTAGCTAAGACAGAAATACCTTGTCTGTTAATTACTTTAGTGCTACACTAGCAATTGATGTGTCTGTTACCAGCTATTGGGCTGTTTCAGATTTCTTCCTGTTCAGTAATACTTAGAAAGGAAATTACTATCCTTCTTAGTAATTCTTCAGCTTGAAGAATGGTGAAATCATATTCTCTAGAACCTGTAAGTGGTAGGAAATG